GACAATATAGACACTGGTGACCATAGAGGTGTCCGTAATGTATAGGTGAACGTAAAGGGCGTCCGGTAAAGAGAGGTTCGATGATTTAATAAAGTTGATATTAGTGTTTACAAGGTATTTATCACGAAGGTTGTAATTGTTTATAATGTAAATACCGAGCAACCATCAAGAACTAGACTAGAACTCGCCACATCACTATGTTCCGTGCACGCGGAAATGCCGTCCAAAGCATGCCGTATATTACGCCAARAGAAGACTATGATATCGATATGATACCATTACCAGAAACTGGCCATACAAACGATGGTTATGAAAACACCAGAGAAACCACAAGCAATCTTTATGAAGACCCGTCAACAATCGCTCCACCTTTCATACTATCGCCCAATGATACCAGACACAGGAATAATGGCTTGTACGAGCCTTTAGGTCCACTTGCTTGGCAAGTACGAAAAGACCATCTTAACCGTAGCAAAGATTCTTGCTCGAATCGGCTTGTTCTGTTTTTGATCCTCACTGTGTCTGTTGTTGCACTTGTCCTTGTTGCTCTGATGATTACTGGTTACATAGGACCATCATGTCTGTGTTCTAGCCAAGGTAAGGCCGATATATAAAAGTAGTTTTAGTGTGAATGTAAAAGTAGTGGTCAAGTAGTCARTGGAGTCACGAAAACAAACAAAAACTGCCTTATTGATGTTAGTAACTTGCGAACATTTAACGGAGAAAATATGCAAGAGTTCAAAGAACTTTTAACTTCGTTGGCTTTACTTTTATAAGAAATGCTTTCRAGACAAATATACTCGTCATTTTCCGTCAAATTTTKTTTCWAAAGGTAAAACTCTCTGTTCAGGACAACATTCACAATGATCACACTCATTTGAGTGTTTGCAATGATATAACAATTCACACGTTACACAATGCTTAACCGTTATGTAATTTCTATTTGAACGCAAATCGAGGCGTTCACTGAGATCGTACATGGTACAGTGTAATTTTAATCGCTTATTGCAGTGGAATCTGGGTAAACTGTGCCTGTTTCTAAGTTGTTGGGGCTTAAGCTGTCCGTTCAACTAAACATCAGCATTTTCTAAAACATTAAAATATTGCAATTCTYTATGATTTCGCGATAAAAACTTTAAACGCGGCGAGTACTCCAAACTCCTTATAAAGAAACCATTASTTCAGACTTGAGTTCTTTAGCTTTTGAAAAAACTGCATTCCGACAAAGGCTWGAAATTTAATGAGSTAAATCCCTTAATCTCTGGTTACGAGTAGTAATAAAACAAGAACAGRCCTACTAGATAACTCAAMCATAGCCCTTCAGGGGCAGCAAAATATGAAATRCTCTGAAAGAARYAAAGATAGGGTGCGGTCGATACTGCACTTGGACAGGAGAAAGTTTCATATGTGAATTCTACATGTAATCAATAAGAAAAATTGTAACACATTTATACGCGATCAGTACATTATAAAGTAACATTGTTTCGTATTATAATGTTAAAATTATGGTTATTGAAAAGTAACACAGGAATTCATTCAGACGTAACGTTAGCAATTATGACATGCTATTAAACGATGTTCTACAGACTTGTAATGATGCAGTCTTCTAATTAAGAGATTCATTAACTAAAGATTGTTTGCCAAGTTCTTCATAACGGCCTAGTATAAGACAGTAGCTTAAGCCTTAGTCAATAGAGACACCCACACAGTCAACAAGATTGCTTATTGCAGTCAAGTTAAAKGATTTTATGCGTCATAAAKCGATCCAGATAAACGTTCGAAATCGATTCGAATCATTGATCGATTTAATTAATTTCATTAGTTTTTTATTAACCTCTACATTCATGATTTCGGTATTAATACGGGAAATGACGTCACTTTATGTCTCGTACAATACTTTTTATGGCTACATATGTCACGATATGTTGCATGACCGTGTTACGGGCGTGATGACATTCAGATCAGGGTAYCAATCCCTATGAACGCAAAATATAACAATGCTTAACATGACTTTCTACAAAAAAAATCCTCCATTTAATCTTTCCGTGACAAAGCCATTGCGTGATGTACAGCTACCCAAATATCAATTTGTTTCTAGGCCCACAGCAACAAAAATCTTCCAGTTCTATTGTGTCCATGGAGCCAATCATGGAGGAGTTAGAGAGGATGAAAAGAAACATGTCTCATGTGAACACCATTATGGTAAGTAGGCCACGTGACACGTACCACGTGACCACGTGACATGTACGTCACTGGCTGAATTATCACACATTTCTGAATAATCTCCTTCCCGGATACCTTCGCCATCTTGAAAGGTACCCGTGCCTTTGCACCGAAGCGAGACGACCGTTGAGCGTGCAATGATAGATACCTGTAAATAATTGTCTATAGGTGTGAAATAAGGTTTCTATCATTGTACGCTCAACGATTGTCTCGCTTCGATGACAAGGCACGGCTACCTTTCAAGATGGCGCAGGTAACCGTGAAGGAGACTATTGCACTACTGAAGGAAGTTTTAAGAAAAGATGGRTGGATTGGTTGTTTGCGCAGGATGGAGAAATGTTGACATCAACTATTTTTATTCTGTTCCTATTCAGATGAAGCAAGAATCGACAGTAAACGACCTGAAAACAAAACTCACGTCAGCCTGGCAGGCAATTGATATCCTCGAAACCAAATTAGGGCAGAGGAATATATCCAATTTAAATATGAAAACAATACAACAGCAACTTGAAAATATGGAAAAKGAGTTGAAAATAACCGACAGTAGAATGGAAAAAGAGATAATTAGCCTTYATTCAAAGGTATTTGTGATGATACTTAACATAAAATTAACCAAAAAGAAATTAAGAGCGAGTCTTTCACTAATTCAGGGYAACGACACCAGGACATTGCTTTTTCAAGCAGAAAGCGACATAACTGCACTTTGGAAGACGGTGGAYTTGAGCAAGAACCAGGTATGACAATACTTGCTAGTATCAATAATATTATTGTCTTTTTTAGTGCCATTTAGTGTTTTTATTCGACTGAGAAGTGCCTACTTATGAGTAATTTCAGAGCATTACACCGGCATAGTAGAATACACCTTTTTCCACAAACCGGACCGTTCTAACAAACCTGATATGAATTTTGTTTGTTCAGACGCATTCTCTATCAAGTATGGTATCAGAGATGAACAACACTATCAACATACAGCACCAGGACACGATCAACAAAGTAAGGATGGGATTCCTGTGTCATTCTATGGATGAACTTGACATAGCCTGCGTAGCCAGGCGTTCCAGGTTTCTCCGGTCCAAACTCTCTCGGATCGGCTAGGAACGCCTGGCTACGCAGGGCAAACTTGACATTCCAGTCCAGGAGCACAATTACTCGCCAACACTGAGCTTTCCCCAAGCGAAGGTATCACCCTTTTATCAACATTCAACAAGAATATATTTGCGCTTTTGCAGATAAACACAAAGACAAGTGAATTAGCGAATAAAGACAGAATTTTACAAGAAAATTTACAACAGCTAAACAGGACGTTAACAAATAAGGTAATGCAAGGCCTGACAAGGTTGACTGATAGTCTCCTCGCAGCCGTTCTTAGTGGCGGGCTCCCTGTCCCAGCAAGTCACATGTTATTTGTGCAAATGTACTGAATGTGATTGGCCAAGAGCCTTGATTGTTGTCACAATGTTCTCTTTTCAAAAGGTAGCAAACGTTTCCAAGATGGCGGGTCCTATRGGCCCACGTGGCTTCAACGGTACTCAAGGACCTAGGGGATACACGGGCATAAACGGATCTACCGGGTTTAATGGATCKAACGGTGCCCCTGGACCTCAGGGGATGCAAGGAACTCCGGGTGCAGGAAAYCTTTCCCTGTGCGGGTACAAGGAGAGCACACAGAAGGCAAGCGCAGATGCCTTGGCCCAAACTAGCATTAAGATTTGGGAAGCGGCGGTGAGAAAAGCCATAATCAAGTCATTTATCGCGCACACATCATCATCAAAAATACTAATAAAATGCGGCTAATTGATGATTCAATGTCACTGACTGGTAATACTCCATTAACCAATCAATTCACGATAAAATCCCATTGGTACTGACTTAAGTCAGTTCTTAAATAGACTCTCTCTTGCAGCCGTAACTTCCGGTTTCCTCACATTTCGCACTCGGCCTTCTAAAATCCACTTAGGGTCACTAACTAAGCATGCTAGATAGTGGACTAGGTCTTGATGTACTATGCAAGCAAACAGCCTCGGTACATGATATGATAACGAACACTAAAATACTTTAATTCATTAAATACAACGGCAAAAGGAGCTGGAATTCTGTAAGCATTTATTATTTTGCAGGACAAGCGAATCACTGGGGTTTACTGCCACTCGAATCGAGCAGCTTTGGTGAACCTCGTTTCTGCTGAAAGGAACAGTTTAAGGCTATACTCATGTGAGTGCAAAGGCGAAACGTCCTT